AGTACACACAAGCAGATGGGTTATTTGGTTTACAGATGACTATTAGAGCTAAAGACATAAGGTCACTAGGTAACTTTAATATGGATGTCCTTATAGCTTTACTTTAAGTTATTTGATTTATTTTTGTACTTATTAACTTTTAAAATATTTCTATAGTTCAATGGTGGATGCAATTTGGTTATCAAACTACAAACTTGCAAAAGTTTACTATCAAAGTACTAAGTTTAACTTGTAGCGCATCTGGATATGAAAGAAATTGGGGCGTGCTTGAACATGTAAGAAGCAGATTTATTATATTAATGTTTTCTATATTGTATTATTATTATTAGTATCTATTAATTACTCTCTACAACTTATCCACAGATTCATTCCAAGAAAAGGAATAAGCTTGAGTTATCGCATCTCAATGATCTAGTGTATATTAAATACAATAGAACATTGAAGAGTCGTTATGACGCTAACGACGCTCGCGATACCATTGATCCAATTTTGTTGGATAATATTGACGAAGCAAATTAACGGTTAACTGGAGCCCCCCAAAATCATGATGATGAACAAGTGTGTAGGAGATGATCTCAAGTGGGGTACTGTTTTTATGGCGCCTGGAGTTGTGGAGAATATCTATGGTCTTCGGGGGAGTTCTTTAAGGCCTCATTTGCTTTTTTAAAGATTAAGACGTCTGAATCTTAATACACATCTGAATATCAAGATGTGTATTAAGATTAAGACATCTGAATCTGAGTACACAACTGGTTATTAAGATATGTATTAAGATCTGAATACTAATTAAGACTGTTTGATTTTTAACATCTGAGTATATAAAATTTATTTTTATTTAAAAATTAATAAACATAAAATTCATATGAAATACTAATTAATCTAATATTCTATCAATAAATATATCGTTTTTAAAATATAATAGTTGCTGGTGGTGATGGCTAACGGAAGTGCTTGTGAATGCCGACTAGAGGCGGTGGTTGGTGGTAGTTTTGGTTGATGGTGGTAATTCAAGGTAGTAGCTGGTGGTGATTGGTAGTGGTGGCGATTATGATTGAGCATGGTGGTGGTGGGTGATGATAGTTAATAATAGCGTATGGTGGTAGTTGTGATTGAGGAAGGTGGTAGTGGGTGATGGTAGTTTATAATGATGGACAGTGTTGGCTATGGTTGTTGATGGTGATGGGGTGGTTAACTGTGGTAGTTGAGGTGGATGATTGTTGGTTGTGGTTGAGAATGATGCTGGTGGGAATGGTAGGGATGGTGGGTGGTTATGATTGAGGATGGTGGTGGTCGAGTATGGTGGTGGTGGATGGTATAGTGGTAGTTGATGATGGTAATAATGAATATGGATGATAGCATCTTAATGAAATTAAGTCTCTGTTATAGATCTTAATCATACAGACCTATTCAGACCCATTAAGTGGCTGTGAAGTAAAAAAACAAACACACTTAATGATTAAGATCTGAATAATTAAGATTCAAACTTTAAAAACAAATGCACTTAATGTCTGAGATCTGAATGATTAAGATTCAGACATCCATTAAGTGCAAACAAATGAGGCCTAAGTTCAAATAACAATGGAAAAGGAGTAGCTACAAGATCAAGTTGGTCCCTAATTGATAAAGACTCTGAGGATGAAGAAGATGATAGCCAATATAATGCTAACAGTTTTTAAATTCAAGAATTTGAAAATCTTGAACAAGAATAGATGTTGCTTGTTTTAATTTATGAATTTACTATGACTATCTATTGAGTTTTTGAATAGATTTATTTATTAATATGCTATTGCTGTTGAGTTATTTACAACAACAACGACCTAGTGAAATCTCACTAGTGGGGTCTGGGGAGTTTTTAGTTATTTATATATGCAAATTTAATATTTTATTTTTTTGTATTAATTGGCACTTCACATCAAAAAGGTGAGCACTACGCTTCTCGCTTCTCGCCTTAGTGAAGCGGGCCCTCATCGCTTTTTGTCGCCTCACGCTATCCAAAACACTGGTGTATGCAGACGTTACCCCTACCTTGTGAAAGTAGAGAGGTTTCCGATAAATCCTCAGCTCAAGGAAAGCATAATCATAACAGTTTTGAAAAAGAAATACGGTAGTGGAGAAACCAGGGACAGAGAAGAAGTAACAATATCCAGAAACATAAGATAACAGAAGCAAAAGAAATAACAGGTAGTAATAGAAATCTAAGAATAGAAAATACGAGAATACTACTAGTTCTACAGGTATGGAAAGGAAATACATGTATGAAAAAGAAATACACTAGACTACTTACTAACCTACTATAATACTCCTTGACCTCCACACCCTCCTATCAAGGGTCATGTTCTCGATATGTTGAAGGTGTGTCATATCCTACCTAATCACCTCTCTCTAATACTTCTTCGGCTCATATCTACCTCTCCCTGGACCCATCAGAGCTAACCTCACACCTCACTGGGGCATCTGTGTATCTCATCTTCACATGCCCAAATCATCTCAGCCTTGTTTCCCGCATCTTGTCCACTACACAAGCCACTTCCACCTTGTCCCAAATATCTTCATTTCTAATCATATCTCTCCTAGTATGCCTACACATACGTCTCAACATCCTCATTTACGATACTTTCATCTTCTGAACATGAGAGGTCTTGACAGGCCAACACTTCGCCGATACAACATAGCCGGTATAATAACCACTCTGTAAAAATTACCTTTAAGTCTTGGTGGCACATTCTTATCATACAAGACGCCAGATACGAGCCTCCATTTCATCAACCCCGCTCCAAAGATGTGTGACATCTTCGTCAATCTCCGCATTACCTTGGATTATAGATCCAAGATATTTGAAACTTCCTCTCTTGGGGATGACTTGTGTATCCAGCCTCACTTCTACGTCAGCTTCCCAAGTCACTTCACTGAACTTGCACTCCAAGTATTTTATTTTAGTCCTGCTCAATTTGAAACATTTAGACGGGTATGCCTCCAAACCTCTAGTCTAGTGTTAACACCACCTCACATTTCGTCAATCAACATTATGTCATCTGTAAATAACATGCACCAAGACACCTCCTGAATGTGTCGCGTCAACTCATCCATCACCAGGGCAAATAAGAACGGGCTGAGAGTTGATCCCTGGTGCAACCCTCTCACGACTAGGGAGTGTCCCGAGTCTCCTCCCACTGTCCTTACCCGGGTCTTAACTCCATTGTATATGTCCTTAATCGTGCATGCAACTAGAAACGCCTCTAGCCTCCAAACATCTCCTACGAACCTCTCTTGGGGCTTTATCGTATGCTTTTTCTAGGTCGCAGAACACCATATGTAAGTCCTTCTTCCTCTCCCTATACTGCTCTTTGTACACCATATAGCTAGCAGACATAGGAAAGGTAGTGATAACTAAGTGAAGGAATGCAAAGTACAAAAAACAGTTGAAACTAAACCACTAAGCTATCGAGTAATCGTGGAAGCTTCCAGATATCTTCATACCCTCTTTTTATACTATAATATAAATCAGTGCTGCATCATAACCAAGCAACATGAGCAAGGCAACACCATGAGAACCAATTCAACAATAGACAGTAAAACATGTATTAAACAAAAAGAAAGCAACTGGAAACATCATACTCCCTCTCTTTCTCTCAATTTCTTGCTCCCCCCCCCCCC